TACCACTTGAGCCACAGAGCCACTTCTGGTTTTATATGCTTACATGGTGCTGAGGAATCGAACCAGGGCCTCAGGCATGCAAGGCAAGCGCTCTACCACTGAGCCACCTTCCCAGCCCGAGTACATTTCTTTTTACATAGTGTCAGCCCTTTCCCTGCTCTCTCCCAGTTTTTCCCTCCAGACCCATTCACGAGGTGTATAGTTGTCTAAGTACCACTGCTGCATTTGTTCTTCCTTTGTCCCTCCATTTCTGTGCCCCTTCTCCCTCCCAAAGACAGATAAGCAATCAAGAAAAAAAAAAAAGAAAACCTCTTGTTTCCAAGGCCTCATGCATGCAAGGCAAGCGCTCTACCACTGAGCCACCTTCCCAGCCCCTTTTGGTAATTTTTAAAAAGATATTTCAGTTAAAAATTCAGCCTTAAGGGCTGGGAGGGTGGCTCAGTGGTAGAGCGCTTGCCTTGCATGCATGAGGCCTTGGGTTCGATTCCTCAGCACCACATAAGCCAAAAGAAAAAAGCCGGAAGTGGCGCTGTGGCTCAAGTGGTAGAGTGCTAGCCTTGAGCTGAAGAGCTGAGGGACAGCACCCAGGCCCAGAGTTCAGGCCCCATGACCAGACCCCCCCCCAAAAAAAAATATATATCCTGATTATGAGTGAGGGTGTTTGTGAGTATGTGTGTCTGTTGGGTAACAGAGCTTGGGCCACACATTTTTGTTGTTTTCTCAAAATTGGAGCTCTACTATTTGAGCCATACCTTAACTTCCAGGATTTTACTGGTTAACTGGAGATAAAAATCTCATAGGCTTTTCTGGCTGTGGTAGCTTCATACCTTGATTCTTAGTCTCTTGAACAGCTAGGATTTAGAAGCCTGAACCTCAGTGCCTGGACACTGTTCCAGAGCTTTTGTGCTACCCGAAGCTTTTTTTTTTTTTGGGTCCGGTCGTGGGGCCTGAACTCTGGGCCTGAGCGCTGTCCCTCAGCTCTTCAGCTCAAGGCTAGCACTCTACTACTTGAGCCACAGCACCACTTCCAGCTTTTTTTGCTTATGTGGTGCTGAGGAATCGAACCCAGGGCCTCATGCATGCAAGGCAAGCGCTCTACCACTGAGCCACCTTCCCAGCCCCTTAAGTTTTTATTTTTAATACTGAAATATACTCAGTGCTTCATTAACACTAATATGAAATATGAGTCATTTGAAGATTGACATGAAACTCTTATAAGAGAAAGGTAATTCCCAATTTTTTATTAAGACAAGTTTCAGACTCATGTTTGAAGAGCAAGTTTTCTTTTTTGTGTGTATACTAGGGCTTGAACGTAGGGCCTTGTGCTCTTGCTTTTTTTGCTCGCGTGTGGTGCTCTACCACTTGAGCCATATCTCCAGTTCTCATTTTCTGCTGGTTAATTGGAGTCTATCATAGATTGGCCTGCCATAGCTGGCTTCAACCCCTATCCTCAGAGCTCAGATTGTAGGCATTAGTCACTCATCCAGCTCATTTTTTTTTCTGATTTGAAATTTACAGCAGACATTTAATTTCACTATGAATACCTTATATATGTCTTAATAAAGATAATAGCACAAGTTGTCTCAGCTATGAGAAGGAGCTCTGATCAGGGCCAGGGTTGGGGTTCCTTATCCACACACATATATTTTGGGGGTGGAGGGAGTATTACCAGTCCTGGGGCTTGACAGGGTCTCGGTTCTCCTTGAACTTTTGTGTTCAAGATTACTGCTTTACCACTTTGAACCTCAGTGCCATTTCTGGTAGTTAATTAGAGATCAGAAAAAAATCGAACTTCTCTGGTTTTGGGCAGTTGCAATCCTCAGATCTTAGACTCTTTGTTTTTAATATTTTTATTGCTATTGTAAGGGTGATATACAGAGGGGTTATAATTACATAAGTCAGCTAATGAGTACATTTCTTATTGAACAGTGTTACCTCTTCCTTTGATTTCTCCTAGTTTTTTTCTCCTGAACCTTCTCACCTACAACTTATAAGGTTCTCTTTTTTTCTTGTAAAGGTGATATACATAGGGGTGCCAGTTAGATAAGTGATATAATAAGTGCATTTCAGTGTCACCTCTTCCCTCATTTTATCCCAGTTTTTCCCTCCCTACCCCTGTCCCCCACAAGTTGTAAAGTTCATTTTCAATATAATGTCTAATGAGTATCACTGCTGCATTTGTTCACTCTTTGTCCCACCATTTCTGCTCCTCCTTACTCTCCCCCAAACAGATAAACTTACATACAAGACAAAAGGAACATAAATAAAAAACAGCAACAAAGGAGAAAAAAGAAAACAAGCAAAATTTTAAACAAAAACTCATTTCCATTTCTTGGAGTTCATTTAGATAAACATTTTATATGATCATATACACTTAGCTATTGAGCCTTTTTGATCCTCCCCTAAGAATATCCTCTTTTGGTATCACTGTGTGAATGTTTAGAGTCCTCTTTATCATACTCACTTGTAATTTTTTGGTCTTTTTGTTTTTTTGTTGGGCCTGAACTCTGGGTCTGGGCACTGTCCCTCTGCTCTTCAGACTGTGGCTCTATCATTTGAGCCACAGCGCTACTTCTGGCTTTTTCTGCTTATGTGGTACTGAGGAGTTGAACCCAGGGCCTCATGCATGCAAGGCAAGCACTCTACCACTGAGCTACCTTCCCAGCCCTAATTTTCTTGTCTTTTACCATTGTGTTTATAGCGTTCTAGACACAATTACTACAAATGAGGGGAAACCATCAACCTATATTTCTTTGGGTTTGGCTTTGCTTAATATAATTTTTTCCAAGTCTTTGCATTTCCTTACAATGGTGCAATATCATTCTTTCTGATGGAAGCATAGAATTTGATTGTGTGTGTACATATGTATATATACACATGCATATATATATATATATACATATACACGTGTATATACACACACACAAAATCACTTTTCTTGATCCATTTATCCACTAAGGGCCACCTGGGCTAAAGCCTTAAAGAGAGACTTCTCAGAAGATGTAAAATGGCCAATAAACACATGAAGAAATGTTCAACATCTTTGGCCACAAAAGAAATGCAAATCAAAACAACATTGAGATTCTACCTTAACCCCAGTTAGAATGGCCATTATCAAGAAAAATAACAGATGCTGGTGGGGATGTGGCCAAAAAGGAACATTAGTACATATGGTAATATAAACTTGTTCAGTCATTCTGGAAAGCAGTCTGGAGGGTCCTCAAAATACCCAGCAATTTGACTCCTAGGCATTTATCCAGTATCCCACAAAGTTACACTAAAGCTACCAGTACAACCATTTCAGCGTTGTTTGCCTTAGCCAGAATATGGAATCAACTCAGTCTCTTGAGTAGCTAGGATTACAGATGTTGGTGACAACTAGCTTTTCTGTCATTTTCTTGGTACTCAGATTGTGTGCATACACACAAGAACTCAGAGCTTTGTGCTTTAACTTAGCTTTTTATTGCTCAAGGCTGGTGTTCTTCCCTTTGAACCATACATTAGCTTACAATGTTTTGCTGGTTAATCACAGATAAGAGTCTCAAAGACATTTCTGCTAGTTGGCTTCAAACTGATCCTCAGATTTTAGCCTCCTGAGTAGGTAGGATTATAGGCAAGAGCCATCAGCTCCCAGCTTAGGCATTATTTTGTTCTTCCCATTACTTGAATCTGGAAGCAAATATAACCAGATATATGCATCAGTTTAGATGCAGTTATAATCAATTTAGTCATTTTGTTTGAATGTCAACTAGATATCTCCATTGTAAAGGTGTCCCTTTCTCTTTCTAATTATTTTATTAGAAATGCATACAGTGACTCACACCTGTAATCCTAGTTACATAAGGAGGATGAGCTCTGAGGATAGCAATCCAAAGCCAGCAGGCAGGAAAAATTATTTCTTTTAAATTTATAAGCTAGGGGTTGGGAAGGTGGCTCAGTGGTAGAGGGCTTGCCTTGCATGCTCGAGGCCCTAGGTTCAATTCCTCAGTACCACATAAGCAAAAAGAAAGAAGCTGGAAGTGGCTCTGTGGCTCAAGTGGTAGAGTGCTAGCCTTGAGCTGAAGAGCTGAGGGACAGAGTTCAGGCCCCACGACCGGACCCAAAAAAATAAAAAATTTATAAGCTAGCATTCTTCTGTAGAGAAATATTTTTTGGGGGGGGGTGTCTGACTGAGCTACCTTCCCAGCCCTGTAGAGAAATATTTTAAACCACAACTCTTCCCCATCTTTTCCCTCAGTAAACGTTTACTGATTATTTTAGTTTGCATTTATTAAACAGCCTCTAAATCACTACTCTCCCTCAGTCCTTTGTAAACTCCTTGTGTGTTCCAGTCAGTCCCGAGGCTTGAACTCAGAGCCTGGGCACTGTCAGCCACTTCCAGTTTTCTGAGTGGTTTATTAGAGATAAGAGTCTCAGACTTTCCTACCTAGACTGGCTTTGAACCGCAGCCCTCAGATCTTAGCCTCCTGAGTAGCTAGGATTATAGGCATGAGCCACCAGCACCGCTGCTGCTTTTTTTTTGCCCAAGGTTAGTGCTCTATCACCTGAGCCACAGCTCTGCCTCTGGCTTTTTTGGTGCTTAATTGGAGGTAAGAGTGTCACAGGCTTTCTTGCCTGGTCTGGCTAAAAACTGTGATCCTCAAATCTTAGCCTCTTGAGTAACTAGGATTATAATCAGGCATGAGTCACTGGCATCTAGCAAAACAAAACTCTTCAATGTGTTGTATAATAATAAAATGTATCTTGAATATATTTTATTTTAAATACAGATTAACAAAAAAGCTTGAAGAAAGGAGAGAGGAGAAGAGGAAAGAAGAAGAACAGGTAAAGTTGTTGGATTTGGCAAAGCTAAAACGATTTCCTAGTTATTGTTGAGTGTTGGAGGGAATATGTTGTCTGTATATTCAGATTGTAGTGTGTGTATTTTAGTTATGTATGTTTGTTGGTTGTATTTTAGAGGCAAAATCTTAACTTTTTAGTCCAGGCTAGCTTTGAACTCACAGGTCTCCTGCTTTAGCCTCCCAAAGTGCTATGATTACAGGCATGCAGCACTATGCCTGGCTATGTCCTGTCTGTAAGTTGCAAGGTAAGTTGGGTCTGCTTTACAGTCAGTCTTTTACACTTTACTTGAGGCAGTTCCTATTTTTAGTTCTTTGTTTAAAAAAAAAACAAAAACAACATGTAGAGTTCTGATTTTTTTCTATTGTGTTGCCTTGTCTTTTTTATTTTTTATTTTATTTTTTGTCGGTTGTGGGGATTGAACTCTGGGCTTGGGTGCTATCCCTGCGCCCTTCAGCTCAAGGCAAGCGCTCTGCCACTTGAGCCACAGCACCACTTCCGGTTTCCTAGTAGTTTTTTGGAGATCAGAGTCTCATTGACTTTCCTGCCCGGACTGGCTTTGAATCTCTATCCTCAAATCTCAGCCTCCTGAGTAGCTAGGATTACAAGTGTGAGCCACCGGCTCCTGGCTCTTTTTTATTGTTGTTGGTGGTGGTGGTGATGGTCATGGAGCTTGAATGTGGATGGAGTCTGGGCACTGTCCCTCAGTCTTCAGATCAAGGCAAGTGCTCTACCACTTGAGCCACAGAGCCACTTCTGGTTTTATGAGGGTTTTTTTTTGTTTGTTTGTTTGTCGGTAGTGGGATTTGAACTCTGGGCCTGAGCGCTGTTCCTCAGCTCTTCAGCTCAAGGCTAGCACTCTACCACTTGAGCTACAGTGCTACTTCTGGTTTTCTGGTGGTTTATTGGAGATCTGAGTTTCATGGACTTTCCTGACTGGGCTGGGTTTGAACCGTGATCCTCAGATCTCAGCCTCCTGAGTAGCTATGATTACAGGTGTGAGCCACCGGCGCCTGGCTTTTCATGGTGGTTTTTTGGAGATGAGTCTCACGGACTCTACCATTTTGAGCCACAGCTCCACTTTGGAGTTTTTGAGTAGTTAATTGGAAGTAAGGGTCTCACAGGGACTTCTCTGCCTGGGTTGGCTTCAAACTGTGACCTCATATCTCAACTCCTGAGCAGCCAGGATTACAGGCATGAGCCACTAGCACTGGCTCAAGTGTAGGGTTCTTTTAACACTTTATCATCAGCTTGCCCTACATTAAAAGTAATGTCTGGAACAAATTATCCAAAAATGTTTAGGTTCCATAAAATTTATTTTGTCTTTGATTCAGAGAGAGATTAAGAAGGAAATTGAGAGAAGAAAAACTGGAAAAGAAATGTTGGATTATAAAAGAAAACAAGAAGAAGAATTAACAAAAAGAATGTTAGAAGAAAGAAATAGAGAAAAGGCAGAAGACAGAGCAGCTCGAGAGCGTATAAAACAGCAAATTGCGATGGTGAGCTTGTTCATTTATTTGTTCATCCATTCAGCATTTTTCTTTGTTTTGTCTTGTTATATAGCCCAAGCTAGCTAAGCTAGCTTGGCTTGTTTCCACTTTGGTGTCCCAAGTGCTGAGATTACAGGTGTATCCCACTGCACTGACTTCTTTTACATTTTTTATTAGCATATATTATTTGTTTTGGGTTTTTTTTTTTTGTTTTATTTTTTTTGGGTCCGGTCGTGGGGCCTGAACTCTGGCCTGGGCGCTGTCCCTCAGCTCTTCAGCTCAAGGTTAGCGCTCTACCACTGGAGCCACAGTGCCACTTCTGGCTTTTATCTTTTTTTGTTTATGTGGTGCTGAGGAACCGAATCCAGGGCCTCAGGATGCAAGGCAAGCGCTCTACCACTGAGCCACCTTCTCAGCCCCAGCATATACTATTTGTACAGAGTAGATTCATTTTGATAATTCCATACATCCATGTAAGGTAATCAAATTCACCTCCTCTGTTACTCTCCCTCTTATCTTCCTACCATTTATGCCCTTTTATTTTTCCCCTAAATTCTCAATACTACACATGTGTATGTGAACATGTACATATGTGCTTGATACTATACCTCAGCTTCTTTTTCTGCTCATGGCTATTGCTCTACAGCTCTATTGCCAGCTTTTAGTTAGTTATTTAGAGATAAGTCTCAATCTTTCTTGCCTTGGCTGGTTTCAAGCTCTGCTCCTCAGATCTCAGCCTCTTAAATACCTAGGATTATAGGCATGAGCCACTGGCATCTAGCTAATAGTAACTTGATTTCTGACATTTGATGAATTTTAAAAATACATGATCAGGAATGATCAAAGTTTGTATATAGCTTTAAGGAATTTCATGCCTTTGTTTAAAAGTATGTAAATAGCTCTTTCTTGGTAGTCAGACAATTTATAACTAATGCTGTTTTAATTGAAAGGATCGTGCAGAGCGAGCTGCTCGTTTTGCAAAGACAAAAGAAGAAGTAGAGGCTGCCAAAGCTGCTGCTGCCTTGTTGTCCAAACAGGCAGAAATGGAAATCAAGAGGGAATCATATGCACGAGAAAGAAGGTATTCCTTTTTTTTCTTTTTGTGACAGTCGTGGGGCTTGAACTCTGGGCCTGAGCACTGTCCCTCAGCTCTTCAGCTCAGGGCTAGCACTCTATCACTTGAGCTACAGCTCCACTTCTGGTTTTCTGGTGGTTTATTGAAGATAAGAGTTTCATGGACTTTCCTACCCAAGCTGGGTTTGAACTGTGATTCTCAGATCTCAGCCTCCTGAGTAACTAGGATTACAGACATGAGCCACTGGCGCCTGGCAAGAAGGTAATTCTTGATGTGTATCATCCTGTTGTAATCAAAATTTACTTTTTTTGGGGGGGTGTTACTTGGGGCTTGAGCTTGGTCACCCACTTGATAGGCTGGTACTCTTAATGCTAAGCCAATTCTCTAGCCCTTTTTTTTTTTTTTTTGGTGCCAGTCCTAGGGCTTGAACTTAGGACTTGGGCACTGTCTCTGAACTTCTTTTCCTCAAGGTTAGCACTCTACCATTTGAACCATAGCACCATTTCTGTTTGTATGGTACTGAGGAATCAAACCCAGGGATTTATCCATGCAGGGCAAGTACTCTACCACTAAGCCACATTCCCAGTCCCTTTACTGGTTATTTTTTTTTAATTTAATTTTATTTTATTTGTGAACATACTGTACAGAGGAGTTACAATTACATGGGCAGGATAATGCGTACATTTCTTACCAAGCATTGCAGCCTCCTCCTTTGTTTACCCTTCACATCCCTTCCCAGCCTCCCCCCTCCCCCCCAATCCCAATCCTTCTCCTTCCCCCTTTACTGGTTATTTTTGAGACAGGGTCTGTTTCCTTCCTGGTCATAGATCTACTTTATTTCTCAATGCAGCTAGGGATTGATTGATTGATAGCTCTTCCCTTGAATGACAGTTCTACTAGTTTCAGCTTCTCGAGAAGTAGGAGTATATGTACATGCTGTTCAAACCTGGCATATGGATTACTTTATAGAAACAAATTTTGAAAATAATGGAAAATACTTGGTAAGTTAAACAACATGTAACTCTTGAACAGTAAGAAGTTCAAAATAGGCTGGGTGCCAGTGGCTCATGCTTGTAGTCCTACTCAGGAGGCTGAAATTTGAGGATTGTGGGTCAAAGCTACCCTGGGTAGAAAAGTCCAAAGACTCGTCTCCAATTAACCACTAAAAATGCTGAAAGTGGAGCTTTCTTGCCTTGAGCAAGAAAGGTCAAGAGCAGAACCTGAGGCCCCAGGACCATCACAAAAACAAAGTGCAAAATGTTTCGAAAAGTCCCCAATACACATAAAATATTCCATCTGCATATCTCAGAATAATTAAAATACTACTGTTCTCCATACTGATCTTATGAGTTAACATAATCACTGCTGAAACTTCAGTTGACCTTTTTTTCATATGAAAATAGAGGAGAACTAGAGTATTCATAACAATCTAGGGAAAAAATGAACAAAGGGGGCACCACACTTAGTTGTTTTTTGTCTTTTTTTGTGTTTGTATGTGCCAGTCCTGGGTCTTGAACTAGGGGGCCTGAGCTTTTTTGCTCAAAGCTAGCATTCTGCCACTTGAGCCACAGCTTCATTTCCTTGTTTTTGGTGCTTTATTGGATATGAGAGTCTCACAGGCTGTGTAACTTTCCTGAGTGAGCAGGCTTTGAACTGTAATCGCCAGAATCTTAGCCTCCCGAGCAGCTAGGATTACATGGATAAATCACTGGTGCCCCAGTTACCACACTTAATTTTAAAACTTTAAAATGTACTATATTGCTGGGTGCTGGTGGTTTATGCCTATAATCCTAACTACGCAGGAAGCTGAGATCTGAGGATCTCAGTTCAGAGTCAACCCAGACAAGAAAGTCAGTGACTCTTACCTCCAGTGGCTCAAGTAGCACTCTGACTGCTAGCTTGAGCAGTTCATAGACAAAGCCCAGGTCCTGAGTTCAAGCCACAGGACAGCAAAAGAATAATAATAATAATAAATGAAAAGTTCTAACATTGTGCATTTCTACATTCATTTCCTCTGATAATGATACTATTGAGAATATATAAGGTTAAAATACTAACTTTAATTTCCTTTTCATAGTACTGTTGCAAGAATTCAATTCCGTTTACCTGATGGGTCTTCCTTTACAAATCAATTTCCTTCTGATGCTCCACTAGAAGACGCAAGACAGTTTGCTGCACAAGTGAGTATATATCTTGAGTTATAGTAAGGATAAATGGTGAGGTTATTAAAATGTTAGAAGGGAAATTTCAACTTGGAATGTGAGTAAATCTTATATTACCTCCAGGTGGATTTGGCACAAGACACCTCTGAGATACTGTAACATGTCTTTTTTTTTTTTTTTTGGTCCAGTCATGGGGCTTGAACTCTGGGCCTCGGCGCTGTTTTTGAGCTCTTCAGCACAAGACGAGCATTCTACCACTTGAGCCACTGTGCCACTTCTGGTTTTCTAGTAATTGATTGGAGATAAGAATCTTACTGGGAAGGTGGCTCAGTGGTAGAGTGCTTGCCTTGCATGCATGAGGCCCTGGGTTCGATTCCTCAGTACCACATAAGCAGAAAAAGCCGGAAGTGGCACTGTGGCTCAAGTGGTAAAGCACTATCCTTGAGCTGAAGAGATAAGGGACAGTGTCCAGACCCAGAGTTCAGGCCCCACGACCAGGGAGGGGAAAAATAGAGTCTCACAGACTTTCCTCCCTGGACTGGCTTTCAAACATGATCCTCACATCTCAGCCTTCTGAGTCGCTAGGATTACAGGCATGAGTCATAAGTGCCCAGCTGTCTTTTTTTTTTCTTTTTTAAAATGCATCTGGGAAGAGCATATCTTTCTATTATACAAAAATAGGAATTTGTTGATAGTATACAATAGGCTCTGGAAACTTACTGTTGGTATATTAAACAGGAAGAGAGCAAAGCAGTGGTTTCCTACACTCCTGAGAAGTTGTCCTACACTCCTGAGAAGTAGCTTTTCTTAGTCCTCTTCATTTCTGTAGGTTGTTTAGAGACTAGCTATTTTTCCATCATCTGCCTATCAGCAAAGGCAGACGATTAGTGATTTTTAACAACTAACTTGTTTAGTTGTTAAACATGTTGATGGAAATGTGGCTTAAGTAGTAAAATTCTTGCCTAGCAAGTGTGAGGCCCTGAACTTAAACCTCAGTACCATTAAAAATTATTAGACTAATAGATACAATGTGGCCCTACATGAAATCTAAATGTCTTGTGTAGGGGCTGGGAAGTTGGCTCAGTGGTAGAGCGCTTGCCTTGCATGCCTGAGGCCCTGGGTTCGATTCCTCAGCACCACATAAGCAAAAAGAA